CACACACACACACACACACACACACACACACCACCTCTAAACTGCTTAGTTCACGACCTTTACTAATATCTATATGTGAACATTGTCACACGGTCAGTTCTATAAATCCACACGCAGATATTATCATCTGTGCGATGCATCAGTTTATAAATGTTTCCATTTAATTACAGTTTGCTCGTTCCGCTCATGTTATATAAATATTATATTTGATGCTTTGTGTTTCAGATTTATCGAGGTAATAAAAAAACCTTCTTCAATCCGAAGCTGAAAAAAAAGTGAATATTTTATGAATATTTATTGTGTATTTTTTCTCTGAGCATCAACACCTCAGTGAATCATGACCCATCATGAGCCCTGTTGTTAATCACAGATTCTATATGAAGATGCACGACAGGACATCTTGGATGCAGCTCACAAACCTCCTCCATGTTAGCAGATGGGACATGGACCAATCAAGTTATTTGACGATGTAAAGACGATTAAAATAATTTTGATAATCAGAACATTTTACAGTAAAGCAAGTAAAGAGTACCACGTGTACGATATGGAAGAACTTCAGTTTTATAGATGAAATGAATAAGCATGTTTTATCTGATTGAAAAAAGCTGCACTGACACCAGTCCCCCAGTAGATGGTGCTAGAGCCCAACAAGAAAACAGAAACAGATCCTATTTCTATGTTTGCAGGGACAAACTACAGTTGTGAACATTATTGTCTATAGAGAAGAAAAGTTCTCCTTCCAAAACAAATCTTCTTTAACGAGCTTGTTTAAACGGTTGATTTGTGGTTTTAGGTCTGGGAATGTTTGGTGGCTCATGTATATATGTATAGTCGGACGTTTATGACCTCTCGTGTGTGGTTTCAGGTGGTTTATCAGGGATGTTGCAGCTCTGTAAAGACATCCTCTCAGTTAATTACATCCTTCCTATTTATACACACACACACACACACTGACTGCCAGGGAGATAGAGAGAATATGATCATAAGAAGAAAATGTTCTTGGCGTCACGTATTCTTTCTGCTGCATTTTCTCCCTCGACCTCTTTTTACTTATTTATTTCATCTATCTATCTATCCATTGTTTTGGTTAATAAATGGTATTTATAGATTGAATTATCGATTCTTGTTCTTTCTATTAATTGTTGTTCTATTCTATTTTCATTCTATTATTTTTTTTAATCTTATCATATACTGTATGTGTAACTATTACAGCTCATTACTCTAGAATCTGAGCTGGTTCCTGTCATGTGGAAACACAAATATAATTGTTTTCTTTCTTGAAGCAGCTTCTGCTCTTCGAACGTGTTTGATTTAAACGAGTAAATCGTGATTAAACTTTGCATCAAGAGTTTTTAAGTTTCTGTCTCCTGCTTCACTGCGTCGACACAAACATCCAATTAACAATCTCAGCGTTGTCGTCTCTCCGGGGAAACTCATTAGTCTTGATTCACACTGAAGACGTGAGCGGGCACAAACAACAACAACACACCGTACTCTTCTTTTTAAGCAAGAAAATAATTTATTCATAATGATATAATCATTTCATCACATTGGCATTGCAGAGCTGCGGAGGGAAGCGTTTGTGTGTGACGCCACCCCGCAGCCACACGTCACACCATTGGATGGGGCAGGGAAACAAAGGTTATTCAATACACACACGGAATATTCCTTTAAATATGTCTTTGTCAATGAGGAATAACAAAAATAGAATAATTCCAATAACTTGTCCGTGTCTCTCTCTAAGTAACATCTCTGTGTCTTTGTACACCGACTGTACACCAAACGTGGGCCTTTGTTTTACTTCACTTGGAGTGGCAGGAGGGTGGAGTTAACCACCATATAGGACGTCAGCTTTTTTCTGTTTTTGAGACGGGCCGCATGCTCCATTACTCCACAGTACCCCTGAAATGTACAATTACAGTAAACCTCACCCGTCTAGATGCTCTTTGGCCCAAACCTGCCGCCACTAAATCTCTCTGTTGCTTTTTCACCCTGTTTCACTCTCTCAAGAAGCTGCAGCACATCGACTCAACCCCAACTTCATCAGGGACACGTCACCCTGCCTGCAACACCCTGATATGTGAGCCGCACCGGTTTGGAAGCTTCCACTGCAGCTCACACAAAGTCAGTGAATCTCAATGAGAACTGGATCTGTTGTTTCCCAAAGTGCCAAAACATCAGGAATAAAATATCCAGATATAACGTCATGATTATTCATGATGACTCTGGGGATCGTCAGGAGGTGGATGAGCGTTGGCTGAAATTAGTGCTCAGCAGAAATAGAGCGATGTTTGCGGTTGACATGTCTCACTCTCCGCTTCACTCGATCGTGCACACCCTCCCGATGTGGCGATCTATTTCATTTCCCATCATCCCCTTTGCTCGTCAGTGCCTCTACGGCTCTGCGTCAGTGTTGCTTCCTGTCTACTCAGCCCATACACTTTACAGTTGGATGAAATTAAAGCATCTCCATCGCCACCTGGTGACTTGCTGCTGTATAGACATGTTTAAGTTTGGTTTGTGGTAAATTTGTTTTTTTATTAGTAATTTGATGACGGGTTGAATCATCAGAATTTACAGCCATTACTCGCTATGACTGGTCGACAGCGTTTATCGTCAGGAATGCGCTCCAGTGACTCAAATCTACAATCGCTACATCGCAGACTCTGGCGTTTGGCCAGTGAGACATGTTGACATGAATATCACTGTACTGCATTGAGCTACAGTCAAAATATCCAAACCTGAGCAATTTCAAAACCAAGCCATGCATCCTGATGGGTTTGTTTGTCAGTGGTTAGCTCGAGCTCCTACAGGAACCTAAAACTCAACCCAAAATGAAAATTGGAGACTCAGGTCTTGTCGGTTCAGTTTCTGGCAGCAGAACTCTTTTTCGTACTGTGATCTTATTCTTTATCTGTTTAGTTGTAATTCAAAATGCAGATTTGTGAATTTCATAGTTTAGTGGTTTATGCCAGGGGGAATATCCGGCAATAAAAACAACCTGAACTTTTTAAAAAGTGCAGTTATCTGCTCTGGTGCTTTTGCAAAATATGAACCATTGCATTGTTTTTAAAGCAAATTTCTCTATAAAGTCATAAAAATAATAGCTTTTCTTCATCATAGCTGTTTCTGTTATTATATTTCTACGTCCTTTGCAAATACTGGTACTTGACTTGACTCTTAAGTCTGAGGGGACGTTTGATTTGTCTTTGCTCTTCTGCCATTTGGTCTCATTATAGAAGCTTTATTCATTAAACCTTACACACACACACACACACACATCGAATTTAGATAAACTGTGATTTTTCTGTCGGCTTCACTGAAAATAATCTCTGCCAAGTCTCCAATTTAACCTTTGACGTTTTACATTAATGTGTCTCTTAGCAACAGGTTGCTAACGCAGCTGCAGACGGCGACTGAAATTAATTAACCGGCGATTTCTTGATCTGCTTCCCCGAACACCTTTTATCGCTCAGCAGGGAAAGAAGGAGAGAGAGTGAGAGAGAGGGAAAAGCTCTTAACGTGATTACTCCGCTGAGTCACACGACGGCTGAGGCGACGGGGAGAAAGAGGAGGTGAGGGAACAGATGATGGAATATAAACGTATAAATTTCAGCGTGGTAATCCCCACATTCAGCAGAATCCAGCCGAACACCTCATCCTCCCCTCCTTCCCCTCTTTCCCCACTTGTCCTCCCAAAGACGGGATAATGGATTAAATATTCAATATCTTCCTCTCGTCGGCTCTCACTCTCACACTTTATAGAAATGACATTTTCAATATAATATACTGTCAGCATATTTAAGAGGCCTGTAGTATTGCATTACAGAAATTTCTTGAAGGCAGAGCTGCTCCGTTTGCAGAATTAATTGCACTGGTGGTTAAACTCACCATGAAGCAACCAGATCCTCACAGGAGGGATAAAAAGTATTGCTCCTATTCTCTCTCAATTTGTCGTTAGTTGCCTTTCAGAAAAAAATGGCAATAATATGTCACCAATTTGGCAGGAGGGTTTTTTTGGCTCCGCCCATTGATTGTGAAACCACCATTGAGATTATTTCTGCCTCTGGAGCCGAGCAGAGCCTGAGATATATTTGCAAAGACTAAAGTACTTGTATCCCAACATCAGAGATAACACCCTTGTTTTCTTTGCACCAATGCACCCATGTGTTGTACCCACTAAAACAGCACAATGTTTTTATGATCCTGAACACGATGAAACATCCTCTCTGATGCCCAACCCTGTTTTCACATGCATGTGTGCGTTTGTGTCTCATCCACAAACCACATGACTTTTTAACGAGTCACTTCTCCTCACATCTTTCCTCTCTACTCCAAAGATCTGTGGGTTCAGTCTGAATAAAAGTTTGGCTCCTTCTTGCCACTTCTATCTGATCTAAGATACGTGATTGGTCTGAGAGAAAAATATCACATTCGATGTGATACCAGCTGTGATACGCTGATCGGGGCAACTGTTTATTTAACAAACGCTTAAAGCAACACTATGTAACTTCTACTGCCCAACAGCGCCCTCTGCAGCGGCATGTGGTGATTGATTCTGTTGGTCAGTTCTTCTCACAGGAGATCATCAAACTCATTTTCAAAAGCTGCGTAGTGTTGCTTTGAAACGTCCGAATCACCAGATTCCTAAACACAAACTTGTGTTTATGTGTGTACCACCAAGGCAGCTGAAATAAAAAAAACTAAAAATGTAACTTAAAAAAGTAAAAAAAACAACACGAGGCGTCGCAGCAACACGCCCACAATTCAGTTTACAAGGCAAACAAACACAGAGTTTTATAGGTTCATCTTTTTTCATTCACTAAATATTTAAAACAAGCGTCACGTGACGAGTCATCATAAACGGTGATCATTTCTTCAGTTTTAAAATCTTTTTTCAGGATGATGGTTTACCTGAAGGATGTGTGTGACAGTTTTTTTTTTTACTCTGCTGCTGTTGTTGTGTACATTTCCATCCATTAGGGGGAGCTCTGACTCAATAGCACCGAGGGATAGTTTTGCTGCCGGGGAGTCAGGAGACAACAGGTTCCCCTCCTCCCTCTACAGGGTCCTTTCATGCAGGGTGGGGGGGGGGGTCATGATTTTAGAGCTGAACCACTGATGGAAGCGTCCACTCACTGATCCAGAACCGAGGGTCGTCCAGGATTGACGACTTGCGATCTGTCCACAGTCTGAAAGTCCTTTTGGGCAAAAACAAATTCAAACTCTGCCTGTTTCTGTGTTTGTGCACAGATCCCATCCATTCATTCATTCATTCACTCACTCACTCATTCATCCATGTTCACTCCATCTCATATGGACCGTGTAAAGGAAAAATAAAAACAACATAGAAGTTAAAGAGCGAGAGAAAGAGAAGGCAGAAGATAAGCATTGATAGAAATATGTTTCATGCACTATCAAGCCAACCACAGCGTCTGTTTTCTTAACAGTCATTCATTGACATTCATCCGGTGTCGCGTCGTCTGTCGAGCTCAGATGCATAGACTGAATGCAAAGAGAGGTGACGGGGAGGAAGAGTGAGATGAGAGAAAAGAGACAGGAGAGACAAGAGAAGGTTGACGGAAAGTGGGAGAGGGTCAAAAGAGGAGGGGAGAGGAAGGAAGAGGAAGATAAGGATTTAGAAAAAGGGATAAAGAGGCGGCGCTACAGAGAGTTGCTATTTGTCAGTGAAGAAAGAGAGTGTGCTATGTGCCAGAGAGTTGCAGGAGGGAAAAAGAGAGATGATGCTAATTGCAGAGAGGCACCAGCAGTGATGAAAGGAGGCGAGGAGTGAGCGGCGAGGAGGAGGAGGGCGGCGCAGACCGTCATCTCCCCTCTGAGACGATAGAGACGGAGGATGGAAATGTGCACGGAGGACAAAACATAAAGGAACAACCTGGGCCTGTGACATCACTCTGTAACTACGGACAGACAGACGGATGGAAGTTTCAACAGGTTTCCCGATTCTCTGACTAAAGCCATTCTTCCTTCAGCCAATCAAAGCCTTTGCTTCTATCATCCATTATTCCCTAAATGCGATTGATTGGGGTCTGGATCACAAGCAGTGTCCCAATTCAAAGGAACTGGAATAAGATTCTATGGTCTACCAAGAATTTCCAACTTGTCCGTTGCATCATTAGCTAATTTGAGCCGCTTGCACTTGCTGCAGCTCAGCCAGCCGGATAGCGAGCTTGTTATCCTCATCACCGGTCCGCAATGAATCCTGAGATAGGATTCAAGCGTTGGACCATTCGGGGCTCGGGAACTGAAGGACGTTTTAACATGCCTTCAAAATGGCACGGCCGCCATTAAGACAAGTCTACGTTCCTTGATGCAAAGACACACAAGCCAGAATATGCAAGCATGTAAGGGTGTGCACGAAAACACATGAGAGACACACGTTCATGCACTCCCTCCCTCTGTGTCTCCCTCTTTGTTCTTGGCATTTCCCTCAACACACACACATTCACAGACTCACAAAGACGAATGCAAACACACACATGTGCACAACTCGGTCCCCTCTGGTCTGTTTGTAGTTTTTTAACAGTCCTTTGGTCCCGTCACCAGAGACCAGAAAATGAATAAAAACCCTGTTGAATAACCAGGCCTGCGTCATGCTCTCCGTACAGAAAATCAACAGGCATGATTTCATCTGCACACACTTGTACAAACACACACACACTCATACAAACACACACTTGTGTAGATACGTCTGCTCTCCGAGGCGTTCCTCTTTAGTCTGTGTGTGTTTTCCCTCCATGGGCAGTTTGTAGTCCGAGCTGTTGGCTGCTCTGTCTGTACATTATTTTTGAATGCAAATGACTGTTGCTGATAGATGCGCAACTTTGATCTTTGTACACGATACATACAGTACAATCCAAATTATATGCAAAAAGAAAAAATCTAAACAAACACTTAAAAAATAATGATTGACGAATATTTCAAGAACGAAACGTAGCGATGCAAAGGCTGCACCATGTAAACAACCTCCAACGCTAAAGAGAAGACAAAAAGTGCTTGCGTCCATTTGCTGGGTGCCTCTGTGGAATGTTTAGTGAAGGTCCACATTCATGTTCAGAGCACGAGAAACAAAATGTGTGACATGCTCATGCCTCATCTTCGGTGGCAAAAAGCCCCTTTGTGGTTTCTCTTTGTAAATCCTCCACTTCATCTTCTCTATTGTCAACGACAGCGCTGCTACAGCAGAGATTTTACTGTAGAGAGAAGCCGTAATGTCCAAGGCGTTGAGAACATTTGCTTTCTCATGTGCCTCGTCACACCGTGAGGAATTTACCCTTCGTTTCATGTAAGTCTACAGGCGTCAGTGCTGTGGTGCTACTGGCTGGACAGATTTACTTCCAAGAAGCATAATTCTGTCTTCTGTGTGTTATTCCATTTGTTTCTTGGATATATTTCATTGCTGATCAGCTGCGGATCAGTATGACTTGTTAAAGATTCAGATCAAGTAACCATTGTCTTCATCAGGGACTCTTGTTGTCATCATCCAGAAGGAGCCAGGAGTAAATATATCCACTGTATAACCACATAATCCTTGTCGTCTGCTCCATGCACTCATTAATCCATCCGACCTTCACACTGAAAAAACTCCCAGTGAGGAAAACATGGTGCAGGTGTTGAGGCACAGCCTCATAGCCGCCACCTTTCATTGAAAATATTGTGAGAACCTGTATTGTTCTCCACAACTTTCTCGCTTTCCAATAGGGGACCAGTTTGACAGATGACTATAGCGCTCCAACCATGGAAGGGACCATTTCGTCCAAAGCTTTGCTCCAATTTGATTGGACAGTGCAAATGGTCGATCAGTAGTTGGAGCGATCTGGTTGGTCAGAGGTGCCCATCTTCAGAGCCTGGCGCATTGTAGAATCGTTTGGTAGCTTTGTCGACAGCAAACGGACCTGGTTAACACCTATGATACTTCCATTCACTGGTCGTTGGATTTGCCGTTCCCAGGTGCTGCCTCTTCTCCCTCTGTGGCCGTTGAAGTGGTGGATGAGAACTCGGTGACCCGTCGTGCCAGAGGGTTTGTGCTTTTGAGAAGCTCCATGGCGGAAACTCTGGTCCCTCCGCTGGAAGACTTGCTGCCTTTCTTCTGAAGTAGGGCCATGAAGTTCTCATTACGGGAGCTTGACCTCTGACTGCTGCCTAACGTCAGGTTCCGGATTTCGGTGTTACCGGCGCTGTGCTTCACGGGGGATACCAGGCTCTGTCGGCTGCCAAAGGAGTCGGTCGGCTCCTTGCGACCCAGAACCTTTCGCTTGGACCTGAAGAAAAGGGAAGAGTTCAGATCAAGTTAGACGACTTCCAAGTAGATTCAGATCTCTCATTTTAGTTGATAACAATCTAAACACAGCACAACAGAAGGGATTCCATACTTTCTTGTTAGAGATGAAAACATTGACTCTCGCTGACTCTGCCTTTCAAACTATTTTCAGAATCATGCCAGGTAACTTCATGAACACTTGTTGCTTAGAGACAAGCTTGCTCTGTGTGTGCTTGCATACATGCACTTGTGTGTGTGTGTGTGTGTGTGAGAAAAAGATAGATTCTGAAAAAAGAAACACTGGTCATGCAGTGATCCTCTGTACATGTAGCCGTTGCTAGGGAACCTTGTGGTCTGTCCGCCTCACATCCTTTCAACAATTCTTTCATCACATGTTCTGGGCTATAATGAGCCGGCAGGCAAGCTCCGTTATGGCTTTGCCATCAGCTGTAATATCTGTGTCTATAAATACCATAATAAAATATGTATTGGCTGAATGTGTGTTTGTGTTCAAACCTGTGTATTATCGTGAAAAGGTCTTCGGTGGTGTGTGTTGTCGGTGTTGCCAGCAAGTCGTCATCTGTTTCCTCTGCAATGTGGAGCACATTCTTCTCATTGGAGTCATCTGAACACGACGGAGAAACCATGTTGAAATGTTGTATTGAAATGTATTTTCTATTTGTAGTTCATGTAATGTTTTTCCGTCTTTTCAACAAAAAATGTGGACATCTCAGCTGACTTTGTGGTTGTTTTACCAAAGCTAATTTTTATCATTTCCGCAGCATCTCAATAACCATACCTGTCTCGATCCTAGTGCTGGCCATCTTCCCCTCTAGCTCAGTGAAAGAGGAATCCTGCAAAGTTGACTGAAGTGACGAATCTTTAGAACTCTCCTCGTCTGGTTCCAAGTGGTTCTCATCTAGCTCTGGCATATCTGGAACACACGGAGCACTGGAAATATCGTCTGGTGGGAAAGCTCCAACTGTTGACCGAAGGCCCAAAGGGCTATCGGCCTGAGGTGTCTGTCGATCGGTGCTGCCATTTGTAGAGGAGTGGACTGACGTGGGAAGAAGCAGAACACTTGGCTTCTTGGGGACTGGAGGAGGAACCTAGGGAAGAAATAAAAAACATCATCTCTGTGCAGCAGTAATGTACTTCTGCATTGTTCGTCCCTGGATGTAGACAATGAAAAGTTTTCTGAGAGGGATCATTCGCACCTTAGGTTTCTTTTTGTCTGACAGCTCTGACAGACAGGAGATTGTCATCCTTGAGGGGAGGGTCTTGCTCTTGTCCTGGAGCTCCTGGGCCTCCTGATTACTGCAAGGAGAAGGGAGTGAACCTCCATCTTCAGGCCCAAGCCGGATCTCTTGGTCAGCTTCAAATTCAGGCTCTAACACTGGGTCCTCCAGGAGAGGCTGAGGATCTGGGAGAGGAGGGAGATCGAAGAGGGACTGGGAGTGTGGGAGGAATGGATGATCATAACCAGTTTGTGTGTTGGTGGTGGAATTTGAATCTGGGAGAACAGAAGGACTTGTTAAAGTTTGTGGAGGAGGTTTTTTCGGTTTGGGTTTTCTCATGACTTTGTAGATGTTGCCCAAGGGCACAGGCCGGTCCACAGGTGAGGCAGGTGGTGAGTCAAGGGCAAGAGGGGAAGTAGAGGAGGGGGAAGGAGACTTTATGAGGAGGTTTATAGGTCGCTTAGGCAAAGGGGGCTTGACAGCGACAGGTGGTTTGGGTTTTGGTAGAGTGGGCGGAGGGCTGGGGACTTCACAGAGGTCTCTGCCATGCTGCTCTTCTTCAATGGTGTCAGATGCACCATCAGGACAGTCCTCTAGGTCACCACGAGAGACAGAGCGTAGCCGAATAGTCTTCAGCTCATTCTGGGTGACAACAGGCAATGCGTGTGAAGAGCTCGGACTGATTTTTCCTGGTTTAGCTGCTGTGGAGGTGTCAGAATGCCGTCTACTGGCCTTTTGCTTTGGCTTGATTGAAGAGAGCTCCAGATGTGCATTCCCAGGCATCTCAAAGGACAATCTAGATCTTGCAGTCGGGTCCTTTGGCGAAGGTAGTGATGATTTCCTTTCTGGAATCTTCGGGCGCATCTTACACCCTGATGCCCCTAGTGTCCCCTGACCTGCCACGTGACTGAGTGGAACAGTTGAAGTGGGAGTCTCTGACTGGCTGGAATAGCCACTTGATGGTGACATAAGTCCTGGGGGTTTGAAGGGTGAGGATGCCTTGACTTCAGTTTCCATGGAGAGCTGTGAGGGCGAGGTGCCTCTGGAGGTGGAGGGAGAGTCAAGAAGGGACTCGGAGCTGCTTCTGACTTTCATACATTCAATCACTGTGGTACCAGTCGCTGTGCTGGAGCCTGATAGAGACCTGGAGAAGAGAAAACAGAAGAGTGCATTTTTAATCTTGACCAAACAAAGTATAAATATGTATACTTGACGTAACATCGAGTTTAGTTTTATTTTCTACCTGTAGGGGTCATTCTTCCACTCCCCTAGCTGCCAGTGAGCGGGGAAGGTCAGTTCTGTCTCTCCCTCCCGCTCTGGTGGCTGAACCTCCAGGCTTGGGGGTCCATCACTGCCTCCATGTCCCAGCTCCCGCTCACTAACACCGGGTTTAGAGGAGCAGGAGGAGCTGGGTAGGAGGAAATCAGGCTGGAAGTCTGGGAAGTGATCCCTTGGGATATGCAAGCTCTTTGGGCGTCCATCCCGATAAAGCCCACTGTCATGGTGGATTCTTCCCTCGGCTTCTCCGAGGTTCTTCATTAAAGAGACACTCCTCACAGGAGGCGGCGGCTTGCGCTTGGATTTCTTGAGTGAGATGGAACGAGAGCGTAGGCGCAAGCGTCCATCGGCGCTGTAGTCCGAAGCAGTGACAGAAATTGTATCAGTCGTACTGGCACTGTCCTCGGAGCTCCCTCTAGGGTAGAGGAGAGCGTAGTTCTCGCTCAAACCGAGGAAGTGATGATGCTGTTGTTGGTGGTCTGTTATTGCCAAAGCATTCCCATTCCCAGTCGACATAATGTTCCCATCTGGCTGGCCTACACCACCCTCTGTGAAGCAGAAGGAACCAGAATCTGTTGGTGTGGAAAGGGAACGCTCCCGGAACTTGAAGGCTTTCTGTGCTGCTATGGAACGTGCTGACCTCTCCCTCCCTCTCCCTGCCTCCCCAACTCCCCCTCCTCCACCTCGCCTCCCTCCATCCGCTGCAGCTCCTTCCGTCTCGCTCCGCTTCCCCATCGACGGCGTTAGCAGTGAAATCCCTGGCACAATATTCCCTCCTCTCCCCGAAGAGTCTGTCACAGACGTGAACGAGCTGGCGTGTGAGCTCATTGACTGTCCCGAGCTCACCAGCATCACACCGTCCTGCATCCCTCCACCAGCATGGCCGATGATGCTGTGGTGTTTGGGAGGAACCGCTGGGCCTTTGCTCATGCTGTAATTGTAAGGCTCGTTCCACGCTCCGGGAGAAAAGGTGGAGCCCTTTGGTCCGTTCCAGGAAGCGGAGGGTGTGTTTGAGCACAGCAGACCAGAGTGGTCCATAGTGCCTGGGTGAAGTTGGTTTGAGACACGATGCTCTACAGTTTTATCTGTGCAGGAGAGGGGCGAGAGAGAGATTATTTAGAAAACAGCTTTTTACGACCAGACAGCAACACAACTCCCTAACAACAACAACCTTTCAGAGAAGCCAGCATTGCTGTGGCCTGACAGACATAAACGTCTGAGCTTTTCTTCAACAGTTTCCGACTCCGCTTTTTCTCACCAGTCTGCACATAAGGCCTTGTTCAGGTAAAACTGTTTTGTGTGAACTCCTCATAAAATGAATGTCCTTGTTGCAGTGAATAAATCAATTAGCCGTGGAAAAAGATCCTGACTGCGACCAACGCCACCTTTCACTGAGAGAAGGTAAGGTAAGGTGAATACAAAGTGCTTAGCCCTTCATTAATCTGTGTGGAGCTTTTGTTGAAATATGTGGGAAATAAACACAAAAACAGGTTTTTCCATCTTCATCTTTGTGCCACAGAATATCGCTTCGACACCAGTCATTTCAAGCTTGATACAAAACCGCAGCAATGTACAAAACATTAGCTGCCCTAGCATCATCTCATAAAGCATCTTACATAAAAAGTCCAAAATAATCTTGTTTTTCTGTTGCCAAGAATGTTCAAGGTTTCAAGTTTCAGCTGACATTGGGTGAGAAGTTAGTGAGTGAGTCGTTTCAAGGTGACCCGCTCCCTTCTGTTCCCTCTTTTCTGTCTTTGGCTGAAGGTGATGCACAGTTCATGTAACAAGATCTCCACCCGGGGAACACGAGAAGAAACTGGATTTAAAAAAACAACATTGGGGGAGGGGGTCGGAGCTTTTCACACACACCTGCAGGTAAGGTTGTGTCGAGGTCAGAGTGCGTCTTCCTCAGGGGGAGGTTCTGGTGGGGGGTGTCGGTGACAGGCTCCAGGGAGTGGGGTTGGTGGGGGAAGGGGTCCCCTGGAAAGGGTGACGGGGACGGGGAGTGCTGGAGGAGGTCGACGCCGTGGAATTTCCCTCCTCCTCCTCCTTCACCTGCAGGAGAGGAAGAACAACAGGGAGGTCAGCAAGAGGAAGGAAAGACTGGTTTTACTTGACATGCAGTAAATTCAGTGTAACTGAAATCCTGTTTCTGACAAGTCAACAAAAAAGGATGAGATAAAGACTCTGGAATGATGGAGATGTGAAGAGAAAACAATTATTTCATGAGCATCACCTGTCAGAACGTTTGACCTTAAACCAGCAGCGTGATTAAAATGAGTTTGATGTTTGAGTGTGAACACAGAGAAAGTTTCCTCCTTCACTCCCTGAGCGTCTGTTCTCTGTAACTCTGCTGAGTGGGCTCGATCTCCTGTGAGAAGAACTGAATGAAGAGTTGAAGAGTGAAGCTGAACTGTAGATCAGAGTTTGGTGGATCTGTTACAGCTGCAGCTCTTCTGGTTCAGGAAGATTACGGGTGATAGCCCTCCTTCACCTCCATTTTCTCATGTCACTTACAGTTCCCCACTCTGTCATAGAGCCACTTATCCACAAATTCCTTCATTGTTAGTGTAAAACTCAAATTGTAGCCAGGGGGCGAAGTGAGACTGAACAAATTAAGGCCGGTTGCTTATAAATGCGAATAAAAAAAAGGAAAGAAACTCTCAGGAGGGTTGAAATTAACTCCACTAAACTGGTGGTGGTAATTTCGACATAATGCACATTTTCACTCCTTGAATAATAAAACGGTTTGAGGAGAGAGGGTGGTCCCAAACTGATGGTTTGAGACCTCTCGTTTAAAGCATCAGGAGAGTTGGTGAAAACGAGCAATTTACAGACAATACACATGCAAGTTTGTTTAAAGGAGACTTACGATGCTTATTCAAGGATCAGCCTGAATATGAGCAGAACAAAAATCAGCAAGTTTTTTACGACGTCTGCTAACAAGAGCTCCCCTCAGCTGAAGTGTGAATGAAAAAAACCAGAACATGCACCTCGACGCTTGAAGAGCTGTTACTGTCACGATAAGCCTTCGTGTTTATATTTTACATTTTCTGCCGTCATGTTTTAATCCAGAGTGACGTACAGCAGATGCTGCTGAGAAACCTGCTGCTCTGTTGTACTTCCCGTCCTTCTGATGTCTCCTCTGGGCCGGCGTTAATCCGATGAGTCATCGGAGGCAGCAGGTACCCACTTCATTACCTCAGTGACCTGCAGCGGTCGCTCACCGATCTGCATCGCTCAGTCAGGCTTCTGTTTTGACGCCGTCAGACATGATTTATAGCCACAGTCAAATCGGATGCGGGCTACTGATAAATTTTTATCTCCAACCACAGGAGTGATGTCATTGGGAAGTCTGTTTCCGTGGGATATTAAATCTGATTGATGCAAAACACAGACTCACGAAAATCAATGAGTCAAAACAGAAAATGAATCAAACTGATGGACAAACAAACAGAAGCAGCGTTAAACAACCGACGCCCAAAGAAAAGTGTTTATTGTGCAGACGGTGATGGGCGTCTGTACTGAGTTGTCAAATTCAATAACTACTTGTGTTGTGGAGTATAAACCGATGCAGCAAATTGAAAATCATAGTCAAACTGCGTAGAACACACAGACATTCACCATCTGTCCGTCTGCGTCTCGGTGTTTGTTTCCTCTCGTGAGCTTTCTGTCACAAATGTCTCCTCCTGTCCTGCGTCCATGTTGTTTCCCGTCGTGTCCCTGTTGCTGTGGATCGTATTAATTATACATCCGCAGCAACAGGATCACAAACGTCGGAGCTGTCTGAGCAGCCAAAGTGCAAAGAGAGACACTGAAGACGAGACGTGATAACAGCCCCTGCACAGAAGTGTAAACAACTAATGGAGCCAAATGGTGCAATTTGGGGTTTTGTTTTCACAATAGGTCTCGAAGAACGAGGCAGAATTTGAGCCACAAAATGTTTAGTAGTTTCGGGACAAAGGAAATAATGTGTAATTTTGCTGTTGTTGAATTTGGTCACATTAAGCAGAAAAAAGTTTTAAAGCCATTCTGCATCTGTGCCTCTTTGTAATTGTTGTTGTTGTTAAACGTCTCTGTATTTGCTCTCTTTATAGAAGTCGTCTTTTTGTTTTAATTTTGTTCACTTACTGTTTTGTGAGCTTCGAAGTTAAAAATGTAAAACCAACTAACCGGACAAACCTCATGAACAAAGTTTGGATCAGAAATCTGATTTCCTGGCTACATGACGATCAAATCTCCGGTCTCAGTGAGAACCTTGTGGGGATAGTCTCTGCTCCTCTCACTGAACAGATGCCTCTTTTTATCTCTATCTCTCCGACACAGAATCCACCTCAGTCAATCATCTGTGTGTTGAGCTCATTCACCGAGTGTCAGTCAATGGCAGTTCCCCACTGTGCATGAATAAATAAGCGCGTTTGGGCCGAGAACATCTGAAACCATCCATCAGAAGACGAAGCTGTGACTCAGCCTTCGAGTGCACGGAGCTAAATATAACTTCCTTCCTAAATACGACAATTTTGACGCTCACACTCTCGGGCAGCAAACACGTACACGAGTCACATTTACGGGCCGTCACTCTTTGGGATCGTTATTCTCGTTCCGGATCGGCCTCTTCTCTGATCGAGCCGCCGTTCTGAGGTTGAGAGTCTTTGTGTTGCTCCTGCAGCCATAAATAATGGACACTATTTCAACTATCAGCAGCCTTCAGCCGGGAGACGATAATTCATTCATCATCATCTCTCTTCAGCACGTCCTCAGATTCACTGCTTCACTGTCAGCTGGGAGTTTTTCAAGATGGCAGATGATGGGTCGGACTGGACCTCGTCCAAATAACATGCAACAGGTTCTATACCTTATCATTTTCTTAGTTAGTCAACTGTTCGGCCTGTTTTCACAATTAAACCCTAAAAACAAATGAACACAAACGTGTGTGTCAGATCTTTTCAAATAATTTTGATGTGTGTGATTCAGTCTCAAGCTGCAGGACAGGCGAGTCAGTGGGTGTTTAGTGAACTGTGGAGGAGAAAGTCTGTGATGTGCATCAACAGTTTCATGAAAAATGAGCGAAGCATATGAAATTAATTCAGATTAATATGTTTGCGCCTGCTCTGCATTCACGTTGTCGACACTCATTCATGAAAATTGCCGGAGCGTGATGTGCAGGGACGGAGAGACAGACGAAGGAGGAGAAAGGAGATTAGGAGTCAAGACAAAATGTTCTCTCATTACCCCTTCATTCATTATTCTTTCCTCCTTCATCCCTCCATCCTCAAAATGCATTTTCTCTCTTCCTCATGTCTCTACTATCCTTTTTCTTCCAGGCTTCATGCTTCACTCACATTTATTCCTCTCTTTTCCATCACTGCTGCTTTCCCCCCCCACCTCTTCTTCTTTTTTTTAGGAGGGAGAGAGAAAAGTGGCGAGTTACCATGGCAACAGTAACTGGCTGCAAGCTACCTGTATGCTGGTTTACAGAGAGAGAGAGAGAGAGAGAGAGAGTGAAAGAGAGGCAGAGGGATGAGAGACGGGTGTCACGGCAACAAAATAAGTCTGTTGATATTTTCTTTTCAACAAATCCCACGAGAAGATGAAAATCGACCGTGAATTGATCCGATGAGTAATATTCTCACAGTCCCATGTATATGTTTCCTCTGTGCCGACACTGTCTCACACGAAACTATTAAGAAAAACACGAGAGAGCCGAGCGTTGAGCCGACTGACCTGGTTCCTTCATTACAAATAACAAGGGCACAGCAGATCAAATTCATTTGTTCTCACACAAAACAACCTGCTGCTGTAAAAACACGAAGACAACAAGCGTGTGTCCATCCACAGCTGAAAACAGTCCCCAACGAACTGTGACGTGTGCTTAGGTCTGTAAATGTATATTTATATATATATATGTAGTATGTTTGATTTTATGTGGAGGGTTACATGTTTAGAAGGAACCAATGGTCACATGAAGTTGTATGTATTTGTGTTTTAAAGCATTTAACCTCAGCCAGGCCGTAGAACAATGACAACAATCAGCGCTTGGGTTAGAAGCAAACAGCCGTTAAAATAACGGATAACTTCGTACTTGGTATCGGCTCAAACACAAAGTCCAGGTATCAGGAAGGGAACTTTGTGAGCTGCTGCTCTGAAGCCTCCACTTTAACATTTTATCCAGTGCCATCTTGTTTTTGAAACCAGAAGAGAGCACATTTGGAGGAGTGTCTATGTCTTTCTCTCTAAAAGAAGGGATGACCCACCAAGTACAACACCACAGGCGGGCACCATTACAACCTGACCTTCTACTCCCCCACACAGTGGGTGAGGAGGGCGACTGAGGTAGAGTGAGGAAGACAGACAGTGGGGGAGAAAAGGGACAGAGGGATATTTAACTATAAATGGATATGCATGAGGGGAGAGGCACCGAGTGACGAAGCAGTTGCTATGCCAAAAACCGGGAGGACCACACGCACACGCACACGCACACACACGCACACATGCTAAGACACACACACACACACACATATGCACCCAAAGACAACAGGGAGGACGCTTGGTTGAGACGAGAAGAAGCAAGAGTGTCAGAACGATGTTGCTGAGGATGACCACAGCATACTAACAGCTCTGACAGCACACACACACACACACACACACACACACACACAAAGACAACGCACACAAGCAAAGCTGACTGCCAGAGACGGGCAAGGGCGATAGAGTGAATGTGATCATCATCTTGACGTCACATCTTCTTTCTGCTGCTGTGTTTTCTGTGTCTTGTCGGAAACTATGTGTGTGTGTGTGTGTGTGTGTATCTATTATTGAATTGATTATTCCAAAACATCATGCTTGACACAGACTCTGCAAACGAAGTGGAGACGTGTTGTCCATCTCTATTTACAGTCTGTCTGAGATGTTCTCCTGTTGCAGTGATGTGACCTCCAAAGAGGCGCAAATTCACATTAATTCTATTTTTCCCTTCAGTGTAATTTCCCATGACTCTCACTTCTACTGCTGAGTCTCGGAGGAAAACACGACTCGTCCCTGGAGAACAACACAGAATGTCACTGAAGGAAAATCTCTTCATCGTCTTGATTTTTGCTCGGAGGCGTGCAGCACAAAGTCACAAGTATTTTTATTTCACTATTAACTATTGAATATATGGTTAAAATGAATTTTTGTTTAAACCATATAGTCAATGGAGAAAACACTGGGTGATTCATTTCCGTTACCAGCTCATCTTATGGGTCTATAATTGGAAAATACCAATCAAAAGCTCCAAGAATCTGACTTAACGTCATCAAAAAGCTCGATTTATACGAAAAACAATCAAACGTCTAAATATATCAAATGTCGATTCATATAAAACATATGTGAAAAACATATGTTTGACATAAACGAGTCAAAAACTCCACCACATCAGTTAATCACCTAAACCCTTGAACGCTATTTTGACAGTTGTAGCATACGAGCATCGAGCACTTTGATTGGATAATCACCACCACTTCATAGACTGGATGCCAGCTGCCTCTGTTTACATGCACTCATTTAAATACAGAGCTACTTTGATGGCTCGGGTTCAGTCCGACGCAGGCGATGAAACATTCATGAATTCTCTGTCATCGCGCCAAGTCCAAAAAAAAAAAAAAAAGTCAACATGGATGAAATATTATCGTTAATGATTTGAGTTTCCACACAGTTAAACTTCAATTACTCCCAGAAAACATCCTGGAGGCTCAGTGAGATCACACGATTATTATACAACTGCAATGTTTGGATTCAATGCATACTTCCTGTCTCTGCCCGACAGTCATCTTTACATAAAGCACAAAACACACAAACAAACCAATACTCTTGGAAAATATCTCCGTCACCTCCAACGAGAACTTTTGCATCAGCATCTTATGAATGTGGTTATTTCTACAGAGAACACCGAGGTTACCTCCTCCATGTTTGTCCTCAGTTCATCCATACAGGCGGAGATTTAATTCAAGATTAAATCAGTTGTAAGAAACTACAGGAATCGACAAACTTAAATTATGACATCTTCCTCCACCGTCAACATGTTTTCTGTGTGTAAATCCATGACAAGCATCCAGGTTTTAGTTTAGCTATCATACCTGTGATGTCGAGCGGTATGAAGTGCGTCTGCGCGCGTCTCCCCAGGTGCCAGCGGAGTTTCTCTGCGACGGGCGGTCCGGTGTTAGCCGACGTGGCGGTGCTGCTGCTACTGTTGTTACTGCTCCAGCCCAGAGGAGGGCGATCTGAGCCGCAGGGGGACGGGGACGGGGAGGGAGACGGGTCGGTCGCTGACCTCAGTCCAAACACAGAGGATGAGGTTTCATCTTCGTAGAGCTGTTTGGAGGCCGGCTAGAAGAAGAAGAAGACAACGGATGTGTTCAGACTCCGGTGATGTCCAGAGAGAACAAAAGGTTGTTGGTTTGATTACACAATTATATTTGTCTTGCTAAAGTGTCCGTGAGCAACACAAATCCAAATATAGGCGAATTAATGCTTTAAAAGTTCTCATTCATTTCTGTAAATGATTTTAAGGATTGTTGTAATTTGTGCAGACACTTGGAGGAGGCGAAACAGACAGTGAAGGTCAAACGAGATGTTTTGCTTTCATCTACCAGGAAGAGGAAGGAATAAAAAGGAAGACAAGAAGAAAGAGCGACGGAGGATGTCACATATGTCAGCTGCCTGGCATTAAATGTGAACTATCAACCAATGCTGCCAAACTGCCGTTAAGCAAGGCACTGAAACCGGAACCGCTGCAATGCAGGGAACAATCCATTCTGTCCTCTCCATGTCTGAAAAGGAAAACGTAAAAGCAAATGCAATGAACGTGATTATCTCAAACACACAGAGAGAGAGTGGGAGAGAGAGGGAGAGAGGCACTAACTTAACAAGGGTGTAAAACAGTGTGCTGAAGCGATGGTGTGTCAATATGCAGGAAATGTGCAGCCGTCCTGCAGTAAAATCACTGTAGGGTTCCATCACGTCGCCATAATGACACAGTTCAGGGAATCGGCCTGAAAACGATTAGCAGCAGAGGGAAAGAGTGAAAACAAAGATGTTGCACGTCCCTAAAATCGACATGTTTACATCCTCTCCTGTCTGCGCACGAAGCAGCCGGGGAACAAATAGCACCGACTTCATTTGCTATTTTGATTTTTCTTAATCAAGTGTTAATTATATTTCCATCTGGAAGGAACCAAATAATCTGGCGTGTGTTTGCGGAAACCAGCCGAGAGTGTGAGACGGATGATGAATGATTTCTGACAACTCTTGGGGGGGCGGGACACACTGTGCAATGGTTGGTGGATAATTCAGCTTCAGTTTGGGACGATAACAAAAGCAATGAGCCGTTTTGTCACAACAGAAAATGAAGCTGAGAGTGTCGGTGACACTTAAACAGTCGTTTGGGGAAAGAGTCATGTCTCTGCTTGGTGTCACAGAACAAAGGCTGAAACTAGAATAAAGGTGACGCACAAAAATAAAGTTAGAACACATCTAACATATGGAATTAGTTTGAATCATAGACTGTGAATAAATAAAGATGGACGACTCATCTCCATTTCCTGCAGCAATCTAGAAATGAAGCCACAGCGGGATATAATAGTGCAGCCAGCCACCAGGTGGCGATCAAGATGCTTTGACCTCGATGAGATTTGAGGCCAAGGTTGATTTAGTGACACAAGAAAGTGGAAACAAGAGGAAGTGGACGCTGTGTGTGTGTGTGTGTGTGCACGGATGTTTATGATGAAATAAGAGAGGTGGAAATTATTCTGTGTGTATGTAGAAGCGTGGCTTAAAATAAGAAACCCAAATACGTCTGTTGTAAACCAGAGAGAAGACGTTTGGTGTGAGGGAGCGTTATGATCTAATGTGACGTGTGTGTGTGTGTGTGTGTGTGTGTGTGCGTGTGTGTGTGTGTGTTTACCAGGAAGATGAAGTCGGGTCTCTTGTTGTTGAGGGAGATGGGCGATCGGCTGAGCGAGGTGGACGTGTCGTCAGAGCTCTGCGAGGACGGATGCCGGAACGTCTGACCGGTCAGCTTGGTGTCGTACAACTGCTCCTCAAAGTCTGCATGAACACACACACACACACACACACACACACACACACACACAGAGGAAAAACACACACACACACACACACACACACACACACACACAGAGGAAAAACACACACACACACACACAAACACACAAACACACACAGAGGAAAAACAGGAGAATTTGGTTAGTGTCAAGTTTCTGCAGCACAGAATACAACAGTGCACGCCAATGCACACATGCACATAGCAATTAAAGTGTCCTTACACACACACACACACACACACACATGCACCAAACACACAACCCAAAACTCACACACATCAGATATCTAAGTTGTGTAATGGAGATCTAGTACGACTGCTGCTCTGCATCACCAGGCAGTTTCCCTCCGGTGACTCCTGGTGCTGCGGCTCTGCAACCTTAAAGGACTCTGAAAGTTTTTAATCCTCTTGTGAGCTCCGGCGTTTTCTCTACTTTCATTCATTCCTTTTCTTCAAGTCTTCCTCTCTGTTCTTTTCCCCTCGTTCTCTCCTCATCCTGAAGTTTTTCTCTCACTCCTCCTCTCGATATCTGCATTTTTCTCCCTCTCTGGAAGCTTAGACGACTCCCCCTCAGGCCATTGTAAACAGATTCCTAACCCCCACCTCCTCTTCTTTCTCCCGCTACACACACACACACACACACACACACAC